GAACTGAGCTTTTCCTCCAGCAGGAGCACAGATGCCAGATGCCAGATATCCAAAGAAAGCCATGTTCTCTTGTCTACAGTGGTTCAATTAATAACATCCATTTAGGCAAAAGAGGAGTTGCTTGGACTAGGGGAAATCACAGGGCCACTTCTGCCTGTGATTTCAGGGGTTTCAGTAGGCTAATTCTGAATGGACAGAAGGAACTGGACGTAAGGTATTGCTGTATTTTCTTTCTTTGCTTTTTATATGTCTCATGCAATTGGAACATATAGAAAAGCCGTTAAATATCAAACTGAATATTGCTTGCCATCCCGAACAGGCGCTGTTGAGTGGATTGATATTGCTTCATTTGTGAAGTAGTATTACCAACTACTGAGCTATCTATTTACAATGTAGCAGTCCACTGTTATGAAATAAGGGCGAGAACACATAATCCAATTTTTCCCTGTTTATATTTTTAAATAAGCAATAGGATAGTACAGCAAATGGAATAATCTTGATAATTTAAATGTTAGATATTAGTAGTTTAAGGAGTTATTCATGAATTTTTTGCCTAACTCAGTTAAAAATGAACCAAATTCAGTTCTCAGTATCCTTGAATAAATCTACTGTAGTTATTTCTAAGATTTTTGTGAAATGTATATGTCTAAATTGAGATAAGTTGATCTTGCTACATATATTATAGATACTAAAATATAAATACTTTAAGACTCAAGGAAATGAAGACACTGCCTCTGCAAGACTAAATGCATTTTTAGACAAGAAAGATTAATGTCCGCAGTTGGAACAACAGTGTTAGAGAAGTTCAGGCTGGGAAGAATGGATCTAATCTAAAGCTCCCTGAAATCAATGAGAGGTTTTCCTTTAATTCCTCTAGGCTTTGGCTTCAGCCCCAAGTAATTACTCAGGTTGGACTTTGGCCACTGATGCTAACACCATCTGCTTACAAAAGAATACCACGAAATCTTTAATTAACACAATTCACTAAGGCCTCAGTTCTCTATTATCTGAAAAATGTCACCTTTGAGAGCATATTGTTCCATGAGTTTGGATGAGGACCCCATTCAGTCCTACCGCAAAGGGAAGTTGTCACCTACTGCGTTGCAAGTGCTACCTTTCTTTCCCAAATATGGCCAAGTTTCAACACATTTGTTTTTTTCCAACTGGAGTTCACATACAAGTATGTGAACAAGGGTTTATTTTTATTGATGTTATTGGACAAAAACATTAAACTCACAGCACATAAATGGACAAGGAAAATATTACTTTTTTTGTTAAAGTCCAATTTTAAAAGAACAAAATAAAAGACATAAAAGGGAAAAAAATGACTATCTGTGTAAAATGCATACCTGGGGAGCAGGGTAGCCTTGCAGTTCAGGACCAGATTTCCCACTGGTTATATTTTTGGCTTTTCATAAAATTACTGAGACAAAATATTTAGCAATTTTCTTTCCCTGTTTCTCCACCTGTGAATACTACCTGTATTCCTAATGCCGATTCATCTTCCAGAAATTTGCCAGGCTAGAGTATTGCTTCGAAGTACTCAGATGGGCGAGCGTATCTCAACCTTGGTGTTACTGCATACCACCCTATGGCCTGGATGATGCCCCATGCTGTGCAAGGCTCTTGCTCTTTTGTGCACCATCATCATTAAGCACCAGATTTGCAGCATAGGCCACTTCATTGAGAGCGAATAAGGCATAGCTATAACCTACATTTTCAAGCCAAAATTTAAAACAATGTGGCTGTCACCAAACGATGAGTGTGTCTTGAGGACTTAAATGTTGTTTCCTTATTGTAGGGATTAATGAAGTGCTGGCCTAGGCCCTGAGCAGCACTTAAGGACATGTTTAGCTTTAAGAATCTGAGTAGACTGATGGATTTCCATGGGAATACTGATGGGCTTAAAGTATGTGTTGTTGGAATGAAGTCATATCCTTCGGTATCGTGTGGGATCAGAGTACATTTATTTGTGAAACTCTCTCAGATTTTACAACTTCAGGGAAACTCCTGGTTATTCAAGACAGAGACCCTCAAATATCTTGCCCTCTTGATTTCTCAGCCCAGGCTCAATGTATGTGGTGTGCCTGTGATATACAGGTTCAAGATCTGTGCTGTGCGTTATATCATTAATTGTTTTCTATTCTATGCCTTAAAAAGAATAAATCCAGGAACTGAATCATAGCTCTAAGCAACTAACTTCAGTAGAATGGTATGTTTTTTTCCTTTTTTTTTTTTTTTTTTCCACAGGTAGTGAGTAGCTATGTTAGACATGCAGGACACCTGCAGCTGTCCAGGGCTCAAAAGTCATTTGCTCAGTTTTTCATAGGCTGCCACACAAGACAGGATGCTCTGCTCACCCATTAGCATCATGACTTACTTCTACAAGCGCCTCCTCTGCTATTTGACTGAAGGGTTCATATTCACAGAATCACAGAATCACAGAATGCTTAAGGTTGGAAGGGACCTCTAGAGATCATCTAGTCCAACCCCCTGCACACGCAGGGTCACCTAGAGCACGTGGCACAGGACTGCATCCAAGCGGGTTTTGAAGATCTCCAGAGAAGGAGACTCCACAACCTCTCTGGGCAGCCTGTTCCAGTGCTCTGTCACCCTCACTGTTAAGAAATTTTTCCTTAAGTTCCTATGGAATTTTGGATGTTTCAGTTTCCGGCCATTTCCTCTAGTCCTACCAGTGGCCACCACTGAAAAGAGACCAGCACCGTCCTCTGCACTCCCTCCCTTGAGGTACTTATAGACACTGATTAGATCCCCTCTCAGCCTTCTCTTCCCTAGGCTGAACAGGCCCAGCTCCCTCAGCCCCATCGGCCTTCTTGGCCACGAGGGCACACTGCTGCCTCATGGTCACCTTGTCAACTTTAATAGTCAAAATTTGCCAAATACACTAATTATATAAGAATCGAAGTACAGTTATTGCTATGTGTGCTCCAAAGGAATAACTTGTGCAAAAGGGAACCTACTTGATATAATATTGTCTATAGATCGCTATTATAACTTGCATTGTCATATTTTTCTGTTCTGCAGTTTTACTAAAGAATGCAAAAAAGGAGGAAGAAAAGACTTTCAGAGACTGTGCAGATGTGTACCAATCTGGTTTAAACAAAAGTGGAGTCTACACTATTTACATTAACAACGTGTCAGATCCTAAAAAGGTAAAATGCGTAGCTGTGTTTCGTGTCTTGTCTGTTGAAGCTGACGGTGCCTTGGCCTTAAGGGAATGCGTGAAATCTTTATGGAAGTTTTAATTCAGCAAATGGTTATACTGGTATAAATGACCCAGATTATATTTAATTTAAAAAATACAGTAGAGTGAAGCAAATGATAAACTATGTGCAGAGTATAGTTCCAGACATCCTTCTTTCTCACTGATGAGAAATCTTCTCTAAATTCCACCAAACTGCTCTGTAATTTCAGCTGAATCAAACAATGGCCAGAAATGAGTTTGTGCTGAAGTTTAGAAACAGTAAAATGCTTTAATGAAAGGCTGATGGGGAGATGATCTGGTAACACAAAGAAAGAAGTAGCAGAATGATTAGAATTTAAAAATATAGAAGGTATAGAAAGGCCTCATTTCTTGTAGGGAACAGGAAGGAATTTTGTTGGCTGTGGAGCACACAACATGCTAAATATTAGCAAAGCTTGAGATGATAAAACATATACTTATCCTTGGATCTCCACAAGATGAAAGATCCCTAAGATGATTTTTTAATGAAAAAGAAGCATTAATCAGTAAAGAGGAATGGCTTTGGAAGGCTGCAAGGGCAAAGACTGCTGAGCTGGTTGCAGCAAGGGACGTGAAAGAGCCTAATTTGTCTGCAGAGGAATGCAGGCTCTCTCCCTTCATGGAGCACTATAGGCAGTAGCCCCTGACAAGGCACTGATCCAGCAAGTGGGCCAAATAGCAGAGAAAGAACAATATCTTTCTGATGAATTTATTCTTACTGTGGTAAAACGGTGATCCTGCAAACAGAAAGAGGCAATAACGACTGCTAGAAAATTTTGTCAGCATTGTGAAACAATAATACATATAAAATTTATTTCTAAAGTTAATTTTGTTTTATTAGGGGCCTTTGGAAGGCTATAAACATCAAGACAGTTTATATTAAGGAATTCGTTAAACCTTCAGTAGAATCGGGTTGGGAAAATGATATGAGTAAAGGTCAATACAATTCTGATGACAGCGGGTGGACAAATAATTGATGTGAATATTGTGTAATACAGAGACTTTATTTACAAGCTTTATTACACAAGACAGGAGAACTAGATGTGCTGTAGAAGCTGTTCAATTCAGAACACAGGTGCACTTCTACAGTCTGGATTGCATATGTAAATTGGCAGTGGGTTATCTCAACCTTATTAAAGTTTCTTACATCCCTACAAGCTTTGTTGCAATGAAAAATTATAATTATTTGAAAGCATTATAGCACTGCTACTTCTGGTGCATTTAGCTAAAAGCCAGTTCACTGGGGATGAAGACACTGGGGATGATTATGGAAGCTACGTGCTGTTTCTTATATATCCTTGTTTGCAGACACTGCTATCAACGAATAAAAGCAGAAAAACTCAGCTGATAGCTGAGCTCTTTCCCAACAGAATCTATTCTATTTTTCTTCCCGTTTTTGGCAAGAAAATGAAAGAATGTGTGCAAGAGAGCTGGGGGTGTTTCTGCAAGCACCTGTGTCTGCCTTGCTCTAGTGATAATACAGCAAGGGCTGACCCTGCGCGCATTCAGGCTAGTCAAGTGAGGATTTTGATTGCTTTAACAGATGTCTTTTTTCAGACATTAAGGCTGCATTAACAGCCTTCCAGGTACTGCTGTGCAGAGATAGTTGAACTGCCTCCAGCTGAGCTAGCTTCAAAATCTCATCAACGCGGTGCTGTGCCGGGACTAATTAGCCCAGAGGTAGCACCATGCTGACGTGCTGAGGTTGGATCTGGGACCCTGCTGTACCTTGATAGGTGTTCCAGCGGGGCACACGCGCTCGGTTAAAGCCAGCCTAGTTATCTGGAACGCCACAACGCGATGCACCGCACCAACATGTCCTACGTGGCCTAATAGACCGTTACCTTCTGTAATACCTGCAGTCACCGGCAACTTCCTCATTTGTGCTAATTTTATACTTTAGGTCACAATAATATTTTCATTTCATATTATATTTCCTAAGGGATGCTTCCGAGAATCCGGAGAATCAATAGGAAATCTCTCTTGATCATCCATTCAGATGTTGCCGTCAGATCTAGCTTTTTGGCATTTATATCTTCCTATATTCATAGAAAATAAACTTCCATGCTTACAACTCCATAATATTTATGTGCCTCATCTGTATATGCTTAATTATGTGCATATTTAAAACTGCCATCCCATTTACTCTCTGTTTGCAAAGTTAGTTTGAAATCTTTCCTTCATTCCGCTATCTTCAATAGTTCATTAGCTTAAAGTGTCTTCCAGCACTCCAGCAAAAATCAGTGACTCATTTCTGCCTGAAAAGGACTTAGAAATATTCTATATTTTTGAGATGAAAAAGTTAGGGAAGTATTGAGCTAAGGAGAACAGCTTGTTTTGGTGTTATGGAGTGTGCTTGTGTGTCCATGTGTCCATGACAGTGCCCAAGCTGTAGTGGGAGCAAAGAGGAGGAGAAGAAAAGAGGGGAGAAAAGAAGAGTCCTTTTGGTGCCCTGCAACCAGTCTTAACTGGCTGGTTTTGAGCTCATTGCTCCAGGCCAACAATTAGACATGTTAATTCCTAGTGAGCTACCACTTAAAATGCAACACATAGTAATATCCCTTCTTTTATTTATTTTTAATTGGCTCTTATAAAGCTTTTAATAATCTAAACCTCACAGTTAAAATATATATAAATAATCCCATATATGTTACTTAGTACTTTTTTTTTTTCATTCAAGGAAGGGCAATGTGCAATGCTTTATAAGTCCTTTGAACCTAAAACAAGTCTTTTTACTGATGATAGAATCTAGAGATGCATAAAAATCCAAAGTTCCTTTTCTTCATCCTTTTAGCTTTTGCTAGAGTATTAAACATGAAAATATGTTAAAAGGTGTTGAATGGCTCAGTGCCTTGACCTTGTCTGGGACAGAAGCCAGTCCAGGACATGTGTTGGCTACAATCATGCACAGCTAACATCTATAATCAACTTGGCAATGCTCTTAATACAGCAGGTGTTTGCGTCTACCACCACAGAAAGTGCCAGACCCCACAGAGATGGTTAGTGAATAATGTGGAGCTCTTAATCTTTCTGTCACTGTGTGGCTTTCTCTTTTAATCTGCTATATCATTCAGAAAACACCAAAGTATTCTTATAGGTATTTCATTATTTTTCAGTACTCTTTTTTTTTGAATCTTTAATATTAGTGTTGTTGTTATAGTTCAAGATTTAATGCATTAAAATTTGACAGTAGTTTCATTGAAGCTTGAGGAGACTTATAAGTGAATCCATCATTTAGGAATTCTCACTGTAAATCAGACTAACAAAATTAAATCTTGTAGATAAATGTTTTGACTCACAATGTCTTCCCTGAAGGAGTAATAGGGCCAAAATGTTTGTCTAGCAAATTGTGGGTTTTCTTGTGGTTACCCGAAATCAAGTTCACATGTTTGCGCTTTCAGTATTCGGTTTCCTTCCTGTACCTATGCAGGGACTTTACTCAGCGTGCCTGGGGCACATTAAAACAAAAATTCTTGCACAGGATTACTATGACAACAGGCATAAGCAGAAGAGATTTGGAACTGTTTTTCCTGAGGGTGAAAAGTAGCTCTCTAGTCAACTGAGGGAGGAATCTCAATTTAACTGAATTGTGACCTGCAATGTGGTGAAGACACTTGAAACTTTAAATTATCAGCCACTGTTGTAGGGGTTGGCTCTGCACTTGTGGATGTGAATGTCAAAGGCTAAGCGAATTGGTGGCACCCATTCAACTTTCTTATAAACATCTTAATTTAGAAGGAGGATGTGACTATTCAAGATCATGCTAAAATAAAAGTTAGTGTAGTTGAGTGCCAGTATGGGACGGATGAGGACAGAAGATCGAAAATTTAGAATATTTGCTTCCCTTAGTTACTGCAAAAAACGTAATCAGGTCTTGAAATCCAGCATCAGGCAAAAATGGGAGCACTGGTGATTACTGTCACTTGCCACATTCCCTCAAAAATGAATGGATAAATAATATCTCACAATCTTTTCTAATTGAAGAAGGATAATTTAAGAAAGTGTGAAAATGAAAGAAAAGTGAAAAATGAATGAAAATGAAATATTTATTTTGATTGTTATATGGATTACTGAAATTTGTTAATAGATTTCAATTGATACAGTAGTCTAACATCAAGCTTCAAGTAGGACATGACCTTGCAGGTTCAGGACCGGGCTTAAATTCTGAGTTAAGAAGTTAAGAATCTGGAAAATGAAACCTGTGTTCTTAAACCTGCTCTTATCTACACTTTTTTCTTTTTTCAGCTGTAAGGCAGATTAAACCAAGATAGTTTGCCCATGTTTTTGGTACTGCCTGACACACAATAAACAACATTACAATACAGAGCAAAATAATAATTGAGTAATTGCACCTGTGTTACATTTGGAATCCCAAGAATTGCTATCTTCTGTAAGAATTCCTAAGAATTCTTTCTTCAAATGATACTCTGCTTTACAAAATATTACTGAAAGTAAAGGGACTATTGAAAGCAGATACTAAGGATACCACCAGGAGCACAGGTGTGAATCCATATAAAAAGCAAAGTTCTTTAATTTCATTATTCATGAATACCCTGTTTAGTCCTCTCTCTCCTGCCAGCTGTCTCTAAGGTGACACAGATACCCTCTTTTTGTCTGTATGGTGACAGAATTCTAATACAAGCTTCTCTTTTTTTTTTTTTTTTCCTTAAAATTACTGTGTAGGTCTTTTGCAATATGGAAATTGCAGGAGGAGGGTGGACAGTCATACAACACCGAGAAGATGGAAGTCTGGATTTCCAAAAAGGCTGGAAAGACTATAAAATGGTAAGGTGGAATGGAAAAATGTGGAATGACATTTTTCATGTCATGTCATGTCATAACATTTTTCAGTACAGTTCGAGTACTGTATTTCATGTAGTACTTCCTGCCTTCTTCAGCTGGTTGTTCTGTCTGTAACAGTAGGAAGAAGTCCTATACTCTTTTATGAGCTACCTTTTGTCATTATTGGTACTCTATAAAATAATTGTACTCTTTGTACTTAGTTGTGTATTTTTTCTTAAGACTTAGAGTTGCTTTCAAGTTCATTAATGAGAAGCATATACAGCAAAGATTGTCGCTGTCTGTGCCTGGGAAGTTTTGACTTGTTGTGATATTAAGGAGTAACAAGTATCTAATGCTGTTCCTCATGCATGGATGTTTTGAGCTGAAAAGAACTCCTTGGAGCTTCTCGGATACGAATGAGTAGTTTTACTGGGGTTTATCCCAAGCCACACATTGCCTCTGCCAATCAATCCAATGTACTGGAAATGATGACACTTCAAATAGGAAGAGAAGAAAATAAATAACTTACAAAATTACAGATGGCGTGATTTTAGCAGGCTATTTTCCCTTTCCAAGTTAAAAAAGAAAAAGAAAAAGAAAAGACATACTCCAATATAAATAACTTTTCATTTTTTTTTCCTGCCTGATTCCTTTCAAATTTCCTGATGTATCTTCTTTCCACTGGTCCCTGAGGACAAGCTTTGATTTCTGTGGATTCTATAGTGACATTCCCAGCGCATTTTCTAGAACTGCGTTGTCAGCCTGGGATAGGAAAGTCTTATTCATAACAGTTTTTAAAAAGTACCATATTAAATAACATATAAAATGACATAAAAAAGGAAAGTCTAGTTCAGTAAAATTTTCTATAGGGAAAAGTTCTATTACAGGTCTTGTCCTTTCATTAAAAAAAGGAGTATCAGATCATTAAACTGAAATGTCATCTTGGATTTTATAGATGCCTTCCTTTCAACTGTTTTTTTTTTTACATTACCTGATAATACAAATGATGGAATAAAGCTAAACCTTTGGGTCCTTCAATCCATACTCTCATGCATAATCAGATGATATAATCTGCTTCACAAAATATTTATGGTAAAATAAGATTAGAATTACAAATAGATATTTATGAATAGATTGTTAAGGTTTGGGTTTGTTTGGGTTCCTCTTGCAGTTTTAATTTAGCAGGAAATTTCAAAACTTTTTGACTTTATTTCCTTTTTTGAAATAAATTATTGTGTTCAGTTCTGGGCTCCTCAGTACAAGAGGGATGTGGAGCTTCTAGAGAGGGTCCAGCGCAGGGCCACAAAGATGATGAAGGGACTGGAGCATCTATTGTATGAGGCACGAGTAAGTGAGCTGGGCCTGTTTAGTCTAGAGAAGAGAAAATTGAGAGGGCATCTGATCAATATCTATACATATCTGAGGGGAGAAAGTAGGGAGAATGGGGCCAAACTCTTCTTAGTGGTGGCCACTATGTCTATAGGACAAGGTGTAATGGGTATAAACTGAAATATGGGCAGTTCCATCTCCATGTGAGGAAGAACTTCTTTGGTGTGAGGGTGCCAGAGCCCTGGCACAGGCTGCCCAGAGAGGCTGTGGAGGCTCCTGCTCTGGAGATCTTCAAACCCGCCTGGATGGACCCTGTGCCCCTGCTCTGGGTGTCCCTGCTGGAGCAGGGGTTGGGCTGGGTGATCCCTAGAGGTCCCTGCCAACCTCAGCCATTCTGGGATTCTGTGATTCTGTGATAAAATAAAATGAAATAAGTATAAAATATCTATTTATTTTTGGGAGGCTGGATATTTTAGGATTCTGTGAGTTCTGAGTAAATTTGTACATGCAGCTAAAATTGCTCTCTACATTTGTATGCTGTTTTAATTTATGAATGTTGTATTGAGTTTTGCTCATTTTAGTTCTCCTGTGCTTTTTCTTATACCATTTAATATGAATATCCCTTCTTTTTAAATTTTTCCCAAATGGGAAAGCATCATAAATATCCCGTCACATAGGCACAGATTTTCCTCATTTTTTTTCCCTTTGAAACACTGCGAAACCTTTCAGTATTGATTTATAGGATTTTATACAGTTCCAACTGTCCAGCAGTCTTTAGTCTTCTAGGAGATATGTTACTTCCACACCCACCCCCCCAAATAAATAAATAAATAAATAAAGGATAAATTCTGCACTTTTACTGATATGTTGTAAGTCATGACAAAATATGGATTTAGGTTTGTCTCTGCTCATTTGAAATGTTTCGCCAGGGCAACTAGCTAAAGCTACCAGCTATGATTAGACATATATTCAAATACTGCATGATCTGAGCTGGTGCAAGTTCTGCATGTTACTGGAAGATATATATATATTTTTTAAATATATATGCACATACATATATACACATACATATATACGCATATATATGTATACATATAGTGGTTGTGTCTGAGTTTCAAGGCAAGAGAGCTGCTGCTATAATCCCCCACTGTTTAGCCAGCCTCTATTGGATCCTGTCACCACTCCTTCCTGGCAAGTCTATCCAGGGTTTCCTCCGATGGAAATAGGGTAGTACAGCAGGGGGACATGAAGGTCCATGGTCATCCTTGGAGTCGCTGAACTTAAAATGTGGTGTCTCAACCAATATTTCAGACACAGCTTTTCAAATTTTCCAAGACATTCTTGTGTTTGTATCTTGCTAGGGCTCCAAATCTAAGAAAAATGAAAAAATAATCATAACAATTTAATAAAAATAAGTCTCTAGGGCCTCTGTTACTTGCAATATATTCACTTATTGGAGAAGAATCAGCAAAAAGGTTCAATCTGTCAGAGCTGCAAGTAAGCACGAATTGCCAATTTCTGGGTAGAGTGGGAACCCAGACCTGAATCCTGCTGTGAGCCTTCATTTCACGTGGATGTATATCAATTCATGCTCAGCATGCTTTCCCAGCACCAACACTGGAAACAGGTTACAGATATAAAGTAGTCATAAATCTTTCAGGAGTGGGAAATGACTATCCAAGCCAGCTTAAATTGCCAAAACCTCATATCAGCCTGGTATTCTGATAAAAATGGTACTTTTTCTCCTGTTGTTTTGGGTCTATTTTCACTAGTGTCCAGTCTCCATTGTGGAAAATCAAATTAAACTTTTAGCATTTAAAACATTAACTAATGAAAACAAATTCTCTTATGTGGTTTTATCCCACTATACAACACAATCTTCTTTCTTTGCGTATATGGTTATCAGTAACACTTGGTTTTGGTCCTAGGTAATTGTGTAATCTATATCTAGGGTTCTAAGAACTTACTCCTGACTACAAATTCTCTTGAGCCATTTTGATTTTGTGATTCAGATTTACAAATTGGAAGAAGTTCAGAAGAAACCCTAGTTCAGAAGAAACCACGTGACTTCATCTTATTATTCTTTTCCTACTGATATTTACTACATCTGCTTGTTCACATTTCACAACTGTGATTCTCCATTGTGTTGTTTCCTTCTTATCAGAGACATTTAAAGATGAGCATCAAGTAATTTCTGCTGAAATAATAGCTAAAATAAGCATGAGGAGGGTTTCTACCATTTGTATTTCCTTGCATGGAGTGGGAATGCAAAACACTGTTAACATTTTGACCTCTGGAAGAATATGTTGTAAAACCTATATCTTGACATCTGCAAACCTGAGCCACTTTTAGAAAGAGGGTTTCCAAAGGATGAATTTCTAAGACATAGTTTCTGGCTTTTATTAGGCAGTCATTAACAATAATGAAATCCAAACAAACTATTAGCTCATGTGGTAACTTGGCTATTGAGTCTTCTTGCTCAAATTCCAGTTTTTCAGTTCTTGGATGAGTTCACCTTTCCCAGTCATTGTCTCCATTTTTGCCAAATTAGGTGACTGAGTATTAGATTCACTGTTCCCTGGCCTTTTAGGATGTCTAGTTTAATAAGTCCCATGAACTTCACAGAAGTTATTCCACACTCAAAAGCCAAGCATTTGCTATCAGTTTCCTAAGGGGACTTGCTGGGGAGCAGGTCTATTGGGGGCTTCCTCGGACGTTTAAAATTATTTACTTACTTTCTGTCATTGGAGAAAGACTCTCAAAAGTTATTTGATGTTGCGTGCCTTGGCCAACCTACAACAATCCTTTCCTCATTTTTTTTAATGCATGTCAGTATTTAATTGTACTGCATGCCTTAGTTGCCACAGTGTTGCTATTTTCTCTTCCCTTATAAAAGCAAGCTATCACCTTTTTAATCTTTCATAATGTCACTTGCACATATTAAATCCACAGCTGTATTTCTAAGCTTTATGGCAACCACCTCCAATCTTCCTGATTAGCAGCAGGTTCTTCTTTTGGTTCTTTGAAGCAAGAATGAAGCTCAGCAGTAAATTCCACAGCCCTTACTCTCACAATGCTGGTAATGAACCGAGAGTCCAACGTCCAACACCAGCTTAGTGCTTAAAGCAAGTCTACTGCCAACTTATTTTAGATTCATCACCAGCATCTGTGTGTGCCTGTAAAGCACGTCTACAAAACCACTTCCATTTCAGTTGGGATTTCTTCCATTTCTTTTCTTTTAACTAACAGCTATTAAGCTGTTGGGTAGGATTGATGGCTTGCTCCATTGTGCCTATTTGGGATGATACCAGAGCTGTACAATTTAGACTTCTTCCCACAGCCTGAATTCTGTGTCACCTTGTGAGCTGGACCACAGAAATGGTTACTAGAATTCTCTCAGAAAATCTTTTTAGATGCATTTCTAGGGGGCATTTTCATTATGGCAATTGTAACACCCTGGCCTTTTCAGTGAATTATAACCAGGATAACAAGCCCTGTGATCCATGTCTTCTGCTTACCCAAAAAACAGTTGTCTTCCTCTGTGGCCAGTCAGAAGATTTTCTTCTAGGCATAATCTTTTTTTTTTTAACTCTTTTTAATATTTATGTTACAGTTTATCTTTCTAAGGAAGCTTTAGCCTGAGTAGAGGTCTCAGGCGTTTTGCAAAGCACCTT